GAGGGACGGGGCCTTGAGGTCTGAAAGGTGGGGCTGGGCACATAAGTCACTGGGCTGGAAGCTGAAGTCCAAGCTCTCTCCAGGCTAGGCACTAGGGGCGCGGAGGGGGGTGTCTGAGGGTTGGTACCATCCCGAGACTGGGTGTTCAGCTGCAGCTCCTGTCGCTGGCGAGCCAAGGCCTAGTGTGGCCATCCCCTTTCACTCACGGGCTGGAGACGGGATGGCTCTCCCTGCCAGGATCTGTGCTGTCCCAACCAAGGGAGAGAAAGCCATTCATCAGCTACAATGACAGGAGCACGTGGACAGGGGTGGGAGGTGGGCACACCCTCCAGAGTGGGCTGCGGAGGAGGGCAGGGCCTCCTACAGACTTGGCTGACTTGTCAGAGGCAGGACAGGCTCTGGGGCTGCCTGTTGGCTGTACGGTGGTTCCCCTTATCCACAGTGGAGACGTTCCAAGACCCTCAGTGGACGCCTGACTCTGAGATGGAATTGAGCTCTGTCCATACTGTTTTTCCTGTACCTACACACCTTGCACTTGGTGGGAACACGGGCTCTCTTTGGCATACCTGGCGTCAGCATCACTAGTTTTGCGCTCTGTGGCCGTTCCTAACTAAGTATGATAAGGGTGACTTGAACCCAAGCACTGCAACACCATAGCATTCGCTCTGATAACCATGGTACTCAGTGCCTACTCGGCGGGGAGTGACTAGATCCCGGGAGCACTGGGCAGAGGGAGGACTCGCACCCTGGGCAGGGCAGAGTTTCACCACACTGCTCAGAGCGCCACACAGGATGGCAGGATCCGCTGCTCGCCATCAGCTCTTCCCTGGGCTGCACAGGTCGCCTGGGCCCTTCTGAAGACCAAGTGCCTCTGTTATGTGCAAGGCATTAAGTAGGTCCTGAGGGCCAGGAAGAATGCTCCGTGTTGGGGCGGAGAGGGGTGATGTTTTGAGCAACCCCCGTGGAGAGCGCTGGAGGCCCTGGCCGGGTGCCTGGGCCTTCAGCTCACCTTCTGGGCCCTTCCATGGTTTCTCTCCGCAGCTGGCGCATCCTTACCGGACGATGGTCCTGAGGGCCATGGAGACGATCGTGAGCAATCACATCAGTGAGCTGGGCAAGGACATGGCCAGGGCCATCATCCTCCTGGCCTCCAGCGAGATGACCAAGGTGAAGGTATGTGCTGCTGCCAAGCCCCTCAGGGGCCAGGCGCTGCCCCTGCCGGATGTGGCCATGGCTCAGGGGCTTCTTTCTCGCCCAGCATGCTAGCATGTGGGTTTGGGTCTGGCTGCCTCGGGGTTGGCCCCTCGGTTCTGCATATTGACCGCCCTCCTGGGTGGGGAAGGCCACCCTGTCATTTCAGAGGTGGAAACCGAAGCAGAAGAAAATTCCTAAGCTCTCGGGTGAATGGAGGGGCCCAGTGCCCGCATCCCAATGTTTGGGGGACAGAGCCAGGCTCAGCATGGGTCCCTTCTCCTAGAGCTGTGCTCCTTCTGCAGTGGCGCCTGGAGTGGGCAAGCACTCACTGGGGAGCCTGAAGACAGTGCGACTGAGGACAGGCTGTACATTTTGCCTCTCGGGCAACTGCAGGGTGAGGGCCCGCACCCTTTTCCTGGCTGGGATGACAGGACACATTTTCTCTGGCGTTGTAGGACCTGGTTTCTGACTGGCAGCAGGCTGCCAGCAGCGTCCTCGTGGCGGTGGGCAAGCGCTTTGTTGGCATGGTGATGGAGGAGATGCTGGGCAAGTTCCAGCCCGGGGTCCTGCCTCACTGCTTCGTGGTGCAGACGTTAGCCAACCTCTCGGTCTTCAATGGTAGGTGTCGACTTGGCCTCCACCCCTTCACCCGCGTTCTCGAGCGAGCCGTGAGTTCCTCTGAGCCCTGTTGGCACCTTGGTTCCTCCTGTCTCAGCAGCCTTGCCACCTGCCCTGGGCTGAGCAGAAAGAGCTCAAGGCCCTACAGCGTGTGGTGGGCACAGGGTGTGGGAGAGACAGGCAGGGGTGGTGCAGGGCTGCTGTGACGCCCGTCTGTTGCAGTGTTCGGCATGGTGCCCTTCCTGACGTCTGTTCTGAGCACCATGCTGCCCATGCTGGGCATGGCCAAGCACGATTCCATGAGGGTGGTGTTCTGCTGTGGTAAGTCGGGGCCTCCAGGGTAGCTGTGTCTTTAAAGGATGGGTGCTGGGTGCTGCCTGACCTTTCCTTGACCTTTTGTCTTCAGGACCCCTTTGTGGAGGCCATGGGTCCTTCAGGCTTCAGGAGGAGGGCGGGACAGTGAGAGGAAGGGTGACTGGTCTCCCTGTGTCTGTGTTCTCCTCTTATGAGGACACAGTCCTATTGTATTAGGGTCCACCCCACCGTGACCACGTTTTAACTCATTATATCTGCAAAGACCCTCTTTCCAAAAAAGGCCCTATCCTGGGGGCTTGGACATGAACTTGGGGGAACAGTGCTTGCCCAGTGTAGTCCAGGAATCCCAGCTTGGACGGTGCTCTGGAGTGGTCATCGGTTTGGAAGGGACAGCACGCACACTAGGTGTGAAGCCCGTGTGTGCTCGCCACTCACCACCCGGTTGCCGCAGCCCTGCAGCGCTTCAGCGAGAGCACCCTTGAGTACTTGGCCAACCTGGACCAAGCCCCAGACCCCACAGTCAGGAAGGACACCTTTGCCTCCGACATCAGCAGTGCCTATGACACTCTCTTTCACCACTGGCTGCAGAGCCGCGAAGCCAAAGTATGCCTCACCTAGCTGGCCACCCCCTCCCCCCAAGCCTGCCCCCCCAGGCCCCTCCCTCTGCCTGGGCTCCTCTGCTCTTCTGTGGGAGGGATGGAGCTATCTGTGTACACCTGTCCCCATCCAGTGCGCTTCAGTCAGGAGGTGGGGATCTCATCAGGGAGGAGACGTGCCCTGTGCAGTCTCATTTGCAGGTCCCCTCAGAGTGCACTGATTTCTGAGCCCCAGTTGCCATGGACACCACCTCCCGTCCTCACCCCATGATGCCTTGGGGGAGGGCAAGGAGTGGTGACAGTATGTGGCCTAGCCCCATTAGGACCCTGTCATCAGCCCTGGGTTCTTGGTGAATGAGCTCTTTGCCACTCTGTCCCTGGTGGGCTGTGAGCGTTGCCGCATGGTTTGTCCTGCTTCCCCTTCAGCTCCGGCTCGCTGTGGTGGAGGCCCTGGGGCCCATGAGCCACTTGCTGCCCAGTGAGAAGCTGGAGGAACAGCTCCCCAAGCTCCTGCCCGGAGTCCTTGCCCTCTACAAGAAGCACGCCGAGACCTCCCATGTGTCCAAGGTGAGAGCTCAGCCAGGGTCTGGTAAAGAACATCCCCTCCAATGGGAGCAGGAGTGCCCTGAGCCGCTCAGGTTCAGTGGTAGTGGGGACCAGCCACATTTCTCCCCACCTCACTGGACAGAAGCCGGGAACCTGTACTACTGGCCTCTCCCCATGTCCCCTTTCCTGATCCCTCCCCTCCCTCTGACTTGTAGAGGTGGGGGCAGGGCTGGGGGCTTCAGGCGGGACTGACGGCCCCTCTGCCCAGCAGAGCCTGGGCCAGATCCTCGAGGCGGCAGTGAGCGTGGGCAGCCGCACGCTGGAGGTCCAGCTGGATTCGCTCCTGGCCGCTCTGCATGCTCAGGTAGGCAGCAGGAGTGGTGCTCGGGGTGTGCCTGTGGAGGGCACACTGGCACGGGGTGAGTTGCAGGGAGTACTCTGGGGGGCCCTGGGAGGGCCTGGTCCAGGGAGAGGTGTGGGGGTCGTGGGAACTTGGCAGGGGCTCCTGTGTCGCATGGACATGGATTAGGGGAAATAGTCTCTGACCTCAGTCGATGCTGAGAAAGGTCAGCTCTCAGTTACCCTTAGGACTGTCAGCTGCTGGGATCCGAGAGGACTTCCTTTAACCTGATAAAGTTTGTTTCCCACACCCTCTGCGTGCATCCTACTGCGTGGGAGACGGGCACATTCCCATCAGGGCCAAAGGCATAAAGACCCCACTCATCCCAGTTCTAGGAGGAGGGAGACAAATGGGACGTGTGGCTCGGTGAGAGGATGGACTGTCCTTATCATTGCTCCCTAGTCCTGGTCCCCGCTTTGTGTTTCCCCTTGGTACTGACCTCCTTTTACTTTTATTTTTATTGTATTTTTTAAAAATATTTTTTGTTGATTTCAGAGTAAGGGAGAGGGAGATAGAAACATCGATGATGATGAGAGAGAATCATTGATCGGCTGTCCCCTTCTTGCCCCCCACTGGGGATTGAGTCTGCAACCTGGGCCTGTGCCCTGACTGGGAATCGAACCGTGATCTCCTGGTTCATGCTCAACCACTGACCCACACCAGCCCAGCTCTTCTATACTTTTTAAATCACATCTTTAAAAGTTTTTGGCCTCCAGTCAGGTAACTTACAAAGTGTGTGTTCATCGCTGTTTATGGTATTGGTAAGGCTTCAGGTCGCAATGGGCTATTAGTAAGTTTTTGGGTAGTTGAAGTTATGTGTGGATTTTTGACTGCTCGGGGGTCAGCGCCCCTGACGCCGCGAGTTCAGGGGTCAACTATATCAGTGACTGCTCGCTGGCCCTCCCGCCAGAGGGACCCCTGTGTGAGGCTGTGTTCTGTCTGTTGCTCACAGCTGTGTCCACCCCTAGAGCAGCTCCTGTCACCTGTGCACACTCAGTGGTTCTGGTGTGGATGGCTGTTATCCAGAAACCGTTCGCGTGGGCACTGAGTCAGTGCCCCCCTTAGAACTAACCAGACACATCAACAGCATTCCACAGATCACTGCTCTGCGGAAAGGACAAAAGAAAAAAAGAAGTCCTTTATTTTGGGGCTGTTTATGATATTTGTTTGCAACATAATTTTCACATCATCCTTAATCTGTCTTCTGTTTTACACTCAGGTTTCCTTATACTCAGCCCCTTGATCCCACACTTGCTTGTCAGATTCTCCCATTTCCTTGTACTTGTATTGTTGAATCTGCCGGAATTTCTTTTAGGGAAAAGCGAGTGAGAATCCAGGTTTGCCTTTCTTCCACGTGACCACCAATTTGCATTAGTTACTACTGTAACTGGTGACTGTAAAACGTAGCACCTTTAACAGAAACTATGTATCTCACAGTCACCGGCCAGACACCCCAGAGCAGCTGCCAGAGGCTCTGACAGGGTCCTAGGTGGTTGCCTTCCCTGCTGGGCTGCAGACTCTGCTCCCACGGCCCCCTCCCGTGGCTGCAGGCAGAGGCGTGGTTCCTGGCCGCAGGACTGCTTAGGACTGATTGAGAGTCCTCAGGACCTGGCTCTCCTCTTCCAGAGTGAGAGCTTCACAGCAGAGCAGGCAGGAGGAGTGCCTTTTGTGACCAAGTCAGGGCTCTACAATGGGGACCTCTAGTGTAGCACCTGTTTCTCCAGCTCTGAGAACTGGCTGAGCACAAATGGGCAGGGCCTATGGGTCAGGGCTTCCCTGAACTGTCAGTCACCTCTCTGGCTCACAAGCTGGGCTCTACTGAAGCCGGCAAACTCCTTCCCCTCGAGACAGCCCAGCTGCATG